CTAGAATAAAGGCCGCTGCGTGTCCGTTTTCAGTTCTTGACGCATCAGTAAAAATCTTGTAATGTCCAGAGTATTCTGATATGCGTTCTTGATATAATTTGTTAATGATTATGGGATTTGTGGTACTCTTTGGATAGGCCCTGAGGAATATATCAATAGTGAGAAAATTAATAGTCCAGGGAGGTATAGTTCGTTGTGTAGGAAAAGAATGTGTCAGCTGCTCCATGTCAAAACCATATCTCGTTAAACGTTCTTTAAGGGGTGGATATTTAATTTGTTGATGGCAATGGCAATAGGACTAGTTTGGTAAGCACCCAGAATAAGTCATAAACATGTGTTTTGTATAATGTCTAGTTTTTTAAGAATATAATTACTCGCAGTTGAATAGCATATTGCACCATAATCCAGTTTACTTCGGATTAATGATTGATACATATGCAGCAGTTTTATGGCGTCCTCTCCCCAAGATTGGTTTGATAGCATTTTTAGGAGATTTATTTTAGATTGGCAGAATACGACTAGCTTTTTAATATGTTCTGCCCATGTTAACTGACTGTCCAGTCTCAGGCCAAGAAAGTCAATGCTCTCTACTTGTTTTAGGTTGATACCATTTAGAGGGGTGTTGTTTTGCAATCGATTTTTCTTTTATTGAATACGATGAAACGAGATTTATCACCTGAGAACGTAAAACTAGTTTTTTGGAAGCAGTCTTCTAGTTTATGCAGAAATTATTGCAAAATTTTTGAGCCTAGTGTAATATTGCAGCTACTAGTATATACAACTAAGTCATCTGCATACAGATCTGCTTTCAAAGGTAGCTTTATCTCTTGAGCGATATTATTAATTGCTATTAAAAATAGAGTGGGACTTAGGGTTGAGCCCTGTGGAATACCGTTTTGAGGACATTCTGTTTTTGAAGTAATTCCATTCACAAGTACTTGGCATACTTTATTATTCATGAAATGTTTTACAAAAGCAAGAAAATTTCCCTGGATACCCCAGTTAGACATGGTTTGTAAAATGTTGTATCTATATGCAGTATCAAATGCTTTATTTGTATCAAAAAATATGGCAATTCCTTTCTGGTTATTTCTAAAAGACTCACATATAATATTGTCAATAGCTACTAAAGCATCATGAGTTTGATCTGTCTCTTCTGAAACCGCTTTGGATATGGCTTAATAATCGGTTTTTTTCAAGAAACCATATTAATCTGTTATTTAAAATTTTTTCTAGTAGTTTGCATGTATTATTTGAGAATTGCGAGAGAAACTGGTCTATAGGAAAGAGGGTCAGTTTTTGATTTGAAAGGTTTTAAAATGGGAATAATGGTTGATTCAGACCAGATTAAACGAAATTTTTTATTAAGGTAAATGTGATTGAAAATGTCTAAGAGAATTAATTTTTCTGTGTACGGCAAGTTTTTGATAAATAGATAAATATGATTGGTATATTATCAGGACCCGATGAAGTGTTTTTTGATTTATTTAGAGCTTTTTCAAATGCTCGATATGTTATGGGAAAATTAAGTGGATTATCACTATCTGCTATAGATATTTCTGTCATTTCACGTTTATTTTTGAAATCTAAAAAAAATGCGGGATTGAAGTTTGCATTGCTTGAATTTGTCTTATACACATCTGACATAATATTACTAATTTCTCGTTTGAAAGATATTAATTTGTTTTTATAAGAAAGAGTGTTAATGTGAATTGAGTTTTGTTTACCTTTTAGTGTACGTACTTTATTCCAGATTGTAGTCATAGATGTTGATGAATTTATGGTAGAGACATAATTTGACCATGTTTCTTTTTTACTTTTCTTAATAAGATATTTAGTTTTTGCCCTAAGTTTTTTAAAATTGTTAACATTTTATGTTGTTTTATGTCTTTTTAAGACATTGAAAGCATGTTTGTTAAATTTCATAGCTAAGGCTATTTCTTTATTCCACCATGGTACTGGTTTTCGTTTACAAGGTTTTGATTTTCCCACTGCAATATTAGCGCATTTTAGTGCAGTGTCATTGAAATTATGAAGAGATGAATCTATGCTCTCTTCTAGAATAAAGTTCGTAAGATAATTATTTATTAGATCTCTATATAAGTCCCAGTTTGCTGAGTTTAATTTCCATTTTTGGTAAACAGGAAAATTCGGTTGATCATGCCCAATGATCAACGATAACCAAGACTATTCCAAGAAAAACCTGCAGCTAATGAGTGATCACCCAACAAAATATCGATGACAGAAAAAGTACTACCGTGGGAGCTAAAATGAGTAGACAGAGATATCACTTTCTATATCTGATGAGGAATCAGTGATATTGAGTTGTAATCTTTTTTTGACCTTGTTAATTTGGATTTACACGTTGAGAACCCCTATGAATAGCTCTTCTGACGAGACCTATTAGGTCGAAATACGTATCAAGAGATACATAGGATTTGTTTGCGTGAAATCAAATATTTGCTGCCTTTTCTCATTTTATTCGGATATACTCTGTGGGAGTACGAGAAACACAATTCGCTAAGGATTTCTGCTTAGTTGTAAAAGACATGTCGTGGAATGCAAATTTTAGATTCCCCATGTATCTTTTAACATCTTTTATCAACGTCTGTTTGCCTTGCAATTCTTAGAAGGCTCAGATTATAAAGCAGAAATCTAAATTGTGTTTCGAAACTATTTTACGATTGTTTAATTAGATGTCGCTACTGCGTCCGTATTGAAGCCATGTTATTGTTGCTTCTTAAAAGGCAGAAAATATTGATTTTTCACGTTGAGAACCCCTATAAATAACTCTTCTGACGAGACCTATTAGGTCGAAATACGTATCAAGAGATACATAGGATTTGTTTGCGTGAAATCAAATATTTGCTGCCTTTTTTCAATTTAATTATTATTTCAAAAAGTTAAAAGTTTTGCTATTTCAATGTTGACATAGACAGTTAGCATTATCTTTTTCGGATATTTGGTACATAACCATAAATTTTGAATTGTTTTGTTTGTATTTAAAGGTTGACCTCAATGAAGCTCCATTTAAAAAGATATTTTTGATTTAAAATAATTATTTAAATAGTTATAACTAGTTGTTGGAACTGCTACAAAATGTCGCCAACCAATTTAAATTCCTATAATGTTCCCAACGTCTAGAGTTTGTTATAAACCGATAGCACCATTGTAAGTTGTTTTTAAAGTCTGTTAATTTTATTTGTATTAACTGTTTATGGTAAGTAATAATAAATATGATGTTTTTCACTAAACCAAGTGTAGTATTATTTCCTTAAAAAAAAGATTCTAACCCTTTTATTATATTTTTAGGAAAGAAAAGCCTTTCTTTCCATACAGCAGAAAGATTCTTGTAAACGGCGTCCAAATTTATGTGTATTAGGAACCTTCTTGTATTGTATTATCCATCAAATATATGTAAGTACTTTTTAATTGTTTTCTTTTGTAGTTACCCCTTTCCAGTCCCTCCGTTTTATTCATTTACTTACGATCCAGCTCTCTAACCAAACCAAGAGTAGCCGTTCGAAAACGTTCCGGCTTGCTTGCTTCCCCTTTCTATAGCCCATTAATTTCAGTCCCCAATTTCAACTCCTATAAGTAATACCCAACGTAGTAGGTAAATATAACCGTAACAAATTAACAAAAATAACTTTTTCATTTTTAAGCTTTTTCAGTAAAATTGTCTCACTTTTCCATATGATTAACCGGTCTTCACCTTTAATTTTTAGAATCAAATAGTTGTCTTACATTGTTTATATATTGTTTATAAGTAAAAAAATACCTTTACTCTTTTGCATATTTTGTTTATTACATATTGTTATCAAAAAATGTATCAAAAGCAGTTGTATCAAAGAGTGTCATAAATTCTCTGGTCTAATAGTATAAGATAGGTTATACAAATATATCTAAAATATTGAAAGTATTGAAAATAAATTTGTATCGGCTACTGTTATGCGATACACCGTGTATAAGAAAATTTTGTTAAAAAAATGCATAAAAAAATACAAATCGATATGTTCAAGCTTTATTTCGAACACGCATCCATTTATTTTTAATCGAATTTAGCCCATTTGACTGATAGATGCTTTAAATTGTTAATGCAGGATAGTCCTAAGTCTCCCTAGTAGAGACTATTATAATCCCTCGATAAGCTACTGCAGTTGGACATGAGGGCATAGATGGATGTTGTATCCGAGTTCTTCTAATAACATTAAAACACTGATTTAACAATTATACAGAGTTTGTATGTTCTTTTGTTGGCATCTTTAATTAAATCAATAGACAAAAGAATAATGTTACGATAATGAATATAATGAATAACTACTGCTGTAATGTATGACTACTGTGTACAAAAGTATTATTAAACCAATAACTGAATAAGAAAAATTGGAGGGAGTACAAATATATTGCGTACCTATAAGGAGTTTTTATTTAGAGGTCTTAAGAATATCAAAGCACAGCTGGTCAGAAAATATAGTGCTGTAAAACAAAATGAAACGAGGCAAACCACTCTTTCTTCTTCATGTACCATGTCCTTTCATAACGTTGGTTACCATCATAGCTATCTTATTTTTATTCACTGCCACCCTAAATAGCATGCTGGTATTAACACCATACCAATCTCGCAAGTTCTTCAACCATGAGGTTCTTCTTCGTCTTGGATTGCGTTTGCCTGCTATTTTTCCTTGCATGATATTTTGTAGCAACCTATATTTGAGACCTCTCATTACATGTCCGAAATACTCCAGCTTTCTCTGCTTGATGCTTTTTATGATCTCACCCCTCTTTAAAAAGGTTAAAAGAAATTAGGCATCAAGTTTCCCAGTTTGATGTGACTTTTTCGAGAAAATATTATTTAATGAGCTATATCAATATGAGACTACTCCGTACTCTCTGCGTATATCTTTTTGATTGTTCGACTAATGTTAATATCAATAAAACGATCTAAACTATTTGTAAATTATTATTGGATAAAATATATATTTGCAATGTATACTTACTCCTAGCTGTAAAGCAGGTTTATCAAATATTACCCGAAGCCATATTCCATTGTAATCAGAATCTGAGAGAAGATTAAGGACACCATAAATTCGATCTGGCTCATTGGGCTTTCTGGCTTCATATGTGAACCACTCAGGACACGGTGATACGAGATCTTGACACACGGCACTGCTTAAAAACAAAAAAACTAGTGTAAACTCAACCCTGAACATATTATTCCACTTTTATAACTAAAAGTTGATCAATTGGACTTCAGGTGTGATCAATGATCAATGTTTATGAAAATTTAGGTTTTCAAGAACAATTGAAATACCATTTTCTTAATTATGGTGAGTTTTTTTTAGCAATCAGTATTGCTTGTTAACACAACACGCTAAGATATTGTCTTTGTTTAGTTAATTCACCTACAAAGCACACTTGACATTAAAGAAAAAATTAAAGAATCATAAGAACCGGTCTCTCGATTGATTATTAAAACTATTCTCCGAGAGTTTTGTCACAATATTCGATTTAACATAATTTTAAATATAGATAGATTATAACTACTCATTTAAAAATCATAAACCTGTTTTTTTCGATTTCTTAAACCACAATTACTAAAAGCCTTTTGAGCGAAAAAATCCCTTTTTTCTGATTGAGTACCCACACTGTAAAATTTATTTAGTAAATCTGCCGAGTTAAATATGATAAGAAATTGTAACGAGATAAAATTACAATAAGAAAACTGCAAACGTACTACTCAAATGTAATATTACTTTTAAGATCAGTAAATTTAACCTAATGAAATATTGTATGTATTTACTCATTGCTATTTTCCCCATAACTTTGCCAAAAGTCAGTAAATTTGCTGCTGGGAACTGCAAAATAGCCTTTCAGTTTGTAAAATTACCAAATTATTTAAATTTCATAAACGAGGTCGTTACTATCTCAGATGTAGTTTTACGAAAAAGCTATTGCTTATGTACTTTAAAAAGGAACTACAACGTTAAAGGGGTTTTATTGTTTCATATGGTCAGTGGACCGCAAATATGAAAAAACCGCGTAGCGCTACATTTAAAGAGGTGCATTTTTGAGAAAGAGTAAAATTTGTCCCTATACACTAGGGTGCATTTGGGTGAATTTTATGTACTTTTCGTACATATAAATCTACAGATTACTGTATGAATACAATTATTCAATGTTCGCCACTCACACCATTTTTAAGTCCATTTTCCAATGTTTTCGCATTTGTCTTTATTCCGCATTTTTAGGTATATGCAATGGTACATTAGTTACTCAAAGTTTCCTTAAAAACAATAACAGCATACTACCTGCGGAATTCCCTAAGACCCAATCTCTCTAAAACCCAAATTTGCGCTTTTCACCTTCGCACAAAGGAAGCAAAGTGAAAACTTTAAATTGCGTGGAATGGTAATACATACTAGCATTTATACCATAATCAGGTGAACACACAAACCAACGTATATATCTTGAAGTAACTCTGGACCGGTCCTTTACCTACAGACAATATTGCATAAAAACGAATATAGGAACTAGGAACAACTAGGAACAGCATACTCAGAAAGCTAACGGGAAGTAAATCGGGTGAACGTCCTGGCGTTTTAAGAACAACGGCACAGACACTGTGTTTCTTAATTGCTGAATATGCGTGCCCCGTTTGGGGCAGATCTTTCCATACCAAACAAGTTGATACCGCGCTAAATGAGATATACAGGATAGTAACGGGATGCATGAAACCAACGCCACTCTTAAATCTATCTAAAGCAGCGGGTTTTGCAGAATCCTCAACACGCACAGGCATTGCAGAGCACATAGAGAAAATTAAACAGATCACGGACAAGCGGCATGCCCTATACAAAGCTCTTCTTCTTTTTATGGTGCCCTATAAAATTAGTGGATGTTGGCAACAATTCTGACATATTCTTCTCGATCTTGTGTGGCCTTTGATTTCTTTCTTTCGATGCCCCGTTTTCCTTCTATCTTCCCTTCCCTAATGAACTTTAAGAACTGGTACTTGTAATTTCGAAATATATGACCCAGTTCTCCTATCGGAGGTTGGCTATCATCATAGCTATCCGTACCTTATTGGCGGCTACTCTAAAAAGATCTACTGAGCTGCAACTATACCACTCTTTTAGGTTTCTCAGCCAGAAAAGTCTTCGTCCCCCTATTAATCTTTTACTCTTGATTTTACCTTGCATTATGAGCCTTAATATCTCCTATTTCGCACCTCTGGTAATGTGGTCTAAATATACCAGCCTTATTGTTTTGATGTGCTTTATGACCTCGCAATCCTTTTGTAGTCTTCTATAGCACCACATCTCAAATGATTCCAACTTGTTCATATTATCCACTTTTAGTGTCCAGCTTTCCATACAACAAAGTCGAGAACACGTAGCATCTTAAGGCTCTTATCCTTAGATCCAGCTTTCCATTCCATACAACAAAGTCGAGAACACGTAGCATCTTAAGGCTCTTATCCTTAGATCCAGAGGAAGGTCTCGATTGACAAACATGTTTTCATTTTTATAAATGCTTGTCTTGCAATTTCAATGCGTGTCCTTATTTCTTCACGTTGATCATTGTTTTCATTTACCCAGGTTCCCAGATATTTGTAGTTATTCACTTTTTCTACTTGTTTTTACTCGATATCTAGCCTTCCTACTGTATGTTGCTTAGAAATAAACATGAACTTAGTTTTCTTATCGTTCATTTGTAGTCCATATTTGATACTGACTTGATTTAATCTATTTACTAAGCGTTGCAATGCTTCTAGACTGTCTGCAAAAACAGCGGTGTCGTCTTTGAATCTTATGTGCTTCTTATAAAGTGCTTCTCTTGTGCCAAGTCCTTGTTTGAAACCAAACTTTGTGGGGCTAATGTCTCTTTCATATCTGTTGTATATTCTTGTGTGAATTATCTTTAAGAAGAGTTTTAGGACCTGGCTCAATAAGCTGATCATTCGGAATTGGTCGCAACTATTAGCATTTGGCTTTTTTTGGGATTGGTATAAAGTTTGATTGAAGCTAATCTTGTGGTATTTGACCGGACCCATAAATGTCATTAACAAGATCTACCAAGGCGTCTATATTGTTTTCATTCAACATTGTTAGAATCTCTATGTATATATCGTCTAGGCCTGATGCTTTTCCCCATTTGCTCGGTTTGATTGCCCTTACAACTTCTGACTTTAATATTTTGGGGGAGGATTGACTTTTATTTCGTCGCGTCATTTTGAGTTGTAAAGCAACGCCTATACCTATGCCCTTATGGAAAAACGTTCTGGAGTAAAAAGGGAAAGTCGCGTGTGTTCCTGTTTTTTTTTTTCTTTGTTTGTTAAATATATTTTTGTTAAAAAAAATATTTTTAATTTTAGAAGGTGACATCATCATCATGCTCAAGACCAGAAGAAACCACTACATTAAAGATCCTTGTGGATATCTCTAGTACAGCTTTTAATGACAGAGGAAGAGAGTATGCATACTGTTAATGATCATGGACTTCGGAAGCCAAGATCCGGCAGGAGAGGAAAATCACAACCAGAACATGAGGCCTCTCAGGTCGTAAATCCACGAAAACCACGTGTTGTGGAAGTCCACAAGATAGCTATGTGGAACGTCACAACTATGTTTGAAGGCGCGAAGTTACAGAATATTTAGCTGGAAATGGCCAGACTAGACATTCCTATCCTAGGTATCTGTGAGACGAAATGGCTAGGGTCAAACATATTCGAGAGCAATGGATACATTGTCTACCACTCGGGAAAAGCAGAAGGACCCAGACGTAACGGAGTCGCAATTATTGTCAAAGAAGAGATTCGTAACTGTATTAGAAATTTCGTTCCTTTCACTGATCGCATCATGATGATACAGCTGCAAAATAAATTAAGAAATATTAATATAATACAAGTGTATGCACCAACAGCTGACAAACCAGATGAAGAGATTGAGCAATTCTACAACCAAATTAAACAAATTCTCCGGAGCATAAAAAAACATGAAGTTACAATTATTATAACAGGCTTCAACACAAAAGCTGGTGCAGAAATAACACAAGATATAAACGGAAAGTATGGACTTGCAGAAAGAAACGAAAGAGGGCAGAGACTAATACAGTTATGTCCAAAAGAGAATTGCATTATAGTAAATACTTTGTTTCAACAACCTAAAAGACGACTATATAACTGGAAATCTAAAGCTGATCAAGAAGGAAAGGTAGTCAGATATCAAATCGACTACATTATCATTAACAAAAGGATTAGAAACAGTATTAAATATGCAAAAACATTCCCAAGTGCAGACGCAGCAACTAATCATAATCTGCTCTGTGCTGGATTCAAACTATAATTAAAAAAAATAATAAAAACCGCGACAGCTCACAAAAAACATAATAATCGACTCTTAAGAAATGCTGTAATATCAGATAAGTTCGGAAATAAGATAAATCATGACATTAAAAAACAGCTAGAAAGATCTGAATAAGAAAATATCGGACAAAATATAGATATAATGAATTCCGCCATGGTTGCCTTAGCAGAGGAAGTTTTAAAATCAGAAAAAAGCCAGTAAAGAAAAAGGATTGGATGACCGATAACATACTAGACCTTATTCAGCAAAGAAGAAATTGTAAAAATGAAGATGAGACTCGATATAGAGAAATATATCGACAAATAAGATATGAGGATAAGCGAGCAAAAAAAAAACTGGAGGGAACATAGATGTCGTGAGATGGAAGAACTACAAAGAAAACATGACGAGTTTAACATACACAAAAAACTTAAAAAATTACCTACACTCAGAGAAAAAGACGTTAAAAACCACAATGCTAAACAAGTTAGAAGCATTCGAATTGTGGTGCTATAGACGAATCCTAAAAATATCGTGGGTTTCGCACACTTTCAATGAAGATGTTCTTCAAATGATCAATTCAGAACGTCTGCTCATAAACACCATAAAGAGAAGAAAAACAGAATACTTCGGCCATATAATTAGAGGACCTAAATACCATCTACTTCGCCTTATAATACAAGGAAAAGTGAAAGGAAAGAGATGGATTGGTCGAAAGAAACTTGAGCGAAGATGCAGGTATGTTTGTCCTTATACCTTGTCCTGATGGCTTTGTTTCGCGCACCAGTCATAGGTCGCTAGTTTTTTCCCTTGGGGAACAAGGTTTTTCCTTAGGGAAATAGGTTTACTTTATACTTATTTGAAGGACCAACCAGAAAACTGGAATAAATTAATGACTCGAAAAGGACGTTATAACAAGTCTATTTATACAATTACAACGTATTTTGGACGTCGATAACTTGCATACGATACACACTTGTCGGTGATACAATATTAACCCGAACTAAGTAAACTTATTAATATCACGACGGTGTTAA